TACTTGCTTACCATGCTGCGAATGGATCTGGCCCTTCCTACATCCAGGACATGGTTAAACTGTACACCCCAGCACGTGCACTACGCTCTGCATCAGCCAAACGACTCGCTGCACCCTCGCTGCGAAGGGGGACCCAAGTTCCCATCAGCAGAAAACACGTGGGTTTGCTATCCTGGCTCCAAGATGGTGGAATGAGCTCCCCATTGACATCAGGACAGCAGATAGCTTGCACATCTTCCGGCGCAGACTGAAAACTCATCTCTTTCGACTCCACTTCGAGCGATAAAATTATTAACAAAGCACTTATATACTAATAAAGGGCTGGCTTATCTAAAGCCAGTTGAGTAGCACTTGAAATGTTTGGCTCTATGAAGCCTGATGTACTTATATGATTCTGTTTTCTTCAAGGTTGTGTCTTCCTGGTCGAATGTACTTATTGTAAGTCGCTTTGGATAAAAGCGTCAGCTAAATGCAATGTAATGTAATTTTAATGATGTTTGTGGAGGTTGCGTGTGGAGGTTTATGATGAGAGAAGTTCCTGGAGGTAGGAAGGAGCATTCCTGTGGATGCACTGATGGGTGAGTACAGCTACAGGAAATTACTTTGTCAAAAACTGGAACTGTAAACTCAGGTATAGCCAGGGGAGGATAGATTAAACATCTTTTTTTGGATAAGGGTCCTCCCCCTCATATAAATTAGTTTTTTTAGAAAGAACAGTTTTCACATCAAGGTGTTTGTGGCGCAATTGTAGGACATACTTAAAGGTGGGGTAGGTAAGTTTGAGAAACCGGCTCGAGATACACTTTTTGTTATATATATCGATGGAATGCTCTTAACATCCCGATAGAAATGGATATCTGAAGTGCTTTGACAACAAATCCATTACAAAAATTAATCTGTGGAAGCCGTGGCGCTGCAAAAAGCACGACCAATCATTTTAGCCGGCCCGGCTAAAATAACTAGATGGCCTACCTGCCTGTCAGCCTTCCATCTGATCTCGTGCCCGGTTCTTCGGTTTAGCTCCGGCTCTTTTCACACCGCCCAGAGTCCGACTGGTGCTGCGTCATTGCGTCATGGTTTGCGTCATGACGTAACCATTTGCGTGCCTGCTTCATAAAGCCAAAGCGCGCGGAAACCCCTCACAGCTGACACCGACAACAACAACAATGGCCGATTGTGCTCCAGCTTCCTCTGTACCTCTTCGGAAGACCAGATTCCCAGCAGCTGGTCTCTTCAGTGGACCACTGCTGCTTGTTAAGTTTCTCCATTGTTGTGTACAAACTGGACTATACTGCAAATGCAAAATTTAAAATATGAATGTAATGGATGTTTGTTGATGTGCAAAAAGGTCACAGGTGTTCTCTATATTTCAGAATCTTGTCCCAATCATTGTTTTTTAGCAGAAAGCATCTGTTTGCATTCATTTATTTGATAAATTAGGGTTTATTTGTTTCCTTTTGAGAAGCAGGAAGTCACAGTTTGATGCATCAGGACCAAAACTTTTTCACACAGTCAGAACAAAGGCATTTTTCCAATAATTGCCGGGATGTGTGTTAAGTAAGGACAAACTGATGATTAGATCATTATCTTTGAAATGTGTGTGACTCATTCACACTGTGTTACCTGAGGCGCAGGATTCGGAGCCACACCTGTCGTCCTAACTCACTCTCGCTCCACCCAAAGGTATTGGTTGCATCCCAAAATTGCATGCATTTCATGTTACAGGTGCAAAACTGACTTAGCCATCACAAAAACAGTAGTTCATACACCTTAAATGTCTTTATTGATCTTTATTATGCATTAACATTTCCAGAAAACAAGAAGATAGGACGTCACATTTCAGCCCTAAACATAATAGATTTTCTTTGCACAGCGACAGGTGGAGGTTCACATGACATGTTGTGGACTGGGTGTCTGCTGCCTGCAAGAGAAAAACAGACAATTGTTTAATACTTTTAACAGAGAGAACATGGTTTATCTGCTCATCTAGGCATGCATATTTAAAGGGTGTTATTTTTCAGGACTTTTTGGATTGATCAGATTTGACAGTGTGATACAACATTTGAGACTACATGTATTCAGCTCTGCCAATAACCATGACATTTCTGATGAACAAAACCATAGTATTTCATTTTGTATGATTGTATCTCACCTGTATTCTACTTGCATCCTCCATGCCCGTGACCATGACCGTGTCCACGGCCATGCCCACGGCCATGCCCACGGCCATGCCCATGTTTGTGACCATGTTTGTGCTTTCGACGGCCTCCGTGCCCATCATCACTGCTGCTGCCGCTGCTGCTTTCGCTGCCACTTCCACTGCCGCTTCCACTGCCACAACCTTGTTCTCTGCGTTTTATACGTTCTTGCCTACGTTCAACACGACGACGTCTGCGGCGTTCCTTCTTCTCATCATCATCCTTATCACGGCATCCGTGGCGATCCTTGTCGTCATCATCCTTAGCACGTCTGTGGCGTTGCTTCTCATCATCATCCTTATCACGGCATCCGTGGCGATCCTTGTCGTCATCATCCTTAGCACGTCTGTGGCGTTGCTTCTCGTCATCATCCTTATCACGGCATCCGTGGCGATCATTGTCGTCATCATCCGTATCACGGTGTCTTTGGCGATCCTTGTCGTCATCATCCGTATCACGGTGTCTTTGGCGATCCTTGTCATCCTTCTTGTCCTTCTGTTGATCACAACCATGATCCTTGTCTCCACCCGCTAGGGCATCGTCCAGGTCTAAGTTGTAGCCTGACGGGTGTTCATCTGTTCAACAATCAGAATAAAACAAAGAAATGCATTTCAAACACTGAGCTACAACCCCTAGGCGGATTTTGCGGGGGGCAGGGGGGGCATTGCCCCCCCTAGTGGCTGAAATATGTTACAGCATTACTACGTTGAAAACTGTTCCAATACAAATATTTCGTATATCAATATTTTAATAAGGTAGGACACTGGTTAATGATATTATAGCGTGTTCGAGTAACCAAGGCATGTAGTAGTTATCAAATCAGTATAAGATGTGCACAGTTATGATAAGTTTTACAATTATGTAATGCACTGTTGTGCACATATGACTGTGTGTACGGCGGGCATGGAAAACTCATACTCAGTGCAGTGAGCGCTGGCTTTATTGCTACTGTATCCATAGCACCCCACGCAGGGCCGTTTCTTCCTATGGGCGGACTATGCGGGGGCATAGGGCCCGCGGCCACTAGGGGGCCCCCAAGCTGAAAGTATTTTTTTGTTTTTTTTGTTTTATTCATCCGGAAAAAAAAGTTGTATTCATACACACAAAGATGAACAAAATTAGTAGAAGCGGGAGGGCTGAAGCATAGCTTGTGGAAAGTAGCCCTCCTGTGCATCATCCTAATACAGGGGCATTATTGCGTCAACAATGTATAGAAATGAAGGAGCACAAAGAAAACAGGAGAAAATAAATAAAAGTTAGGGCAGGAAAACAATAAATGCATAATAGTGATCGATAGTCCACGATCTGAGGAAGATGAAAAATGTAAATTAAACATTGTTGAGAAAATGCTGCATTTATTGACATGGAGGAGCCTTATTGTTTACCTTTTTAATATCATTTTTTGTAATTTTCAATTGCTTGGTTTTCGTGAAATTAGCCTGTTTTCCTATTCAAGTGTAACAGATTGATGCATCTCCACAGATCATCTTAAAGGCTTCGGAATTCCCCCCATTGTAGTTAAAAAACTGTCAAAACGAGGGCCCCCAAACAGCATCTTGCATAGGGCCCCCAAAAAGCTAGAAACGGCCCTGACCCCACGCAATAGTTGGGGACGTCAGTAAAAAAAGGTTTGCCCCCCCCAAGCGCAAATGTCAAACTCCGCCTATGACCCCTGCCCTAGACAAAGGACTCTATATAATTGTATTTTTTTAGGGTAAAATGACATTCAACATTTCATGACACCAAGAAATGAATTGGCAACAAAATGTTACTTAAATGAAATAGTACCAATTAATACTTCATCCCCACTAATTTTTTCAAAACAAACAAACACCCAAGACACAGGACTTAACAAGATTTAAGAAGAACCGTTGACTTTGGTCAATCTTACCTTGGTTGGTACCTGAGAACATTTTCTGTCGTTGATGTCTTTCTTTGTGGCAGAAAGTTTCTGTGACACAGAGTAAAAGAAAAACACAGGGAAGTGCATTTAGGTTAAACCAGTTTGACTGGAAATTAAAAGGTGTGGCAAAACATTCTGAAAAAAATGGTATGACTTATCTTCTCAGAATTTTAAAGGTGTCTGGGAATGGCGATGACGATCCAGTACGTTTGACACTTTTGTCCTTAGTGTTAACACAACATGATGCTATCATATAACACATATACACAAGTTTCTTCACTTATGTCTAGAACACAGATATCTGTTTAAATCCCACATGTTTACATATTATTACAATAAGTCATATTTGATTTTACTGTACAGTATTTTGTTTTTCATTCTGATATCTGATTTTACATTACATTGCATTTAGCTGACGCTTTTATCCAAAGCGACTTACAATAAGTACATTCGACCAGGAAGACACAACCTTGAAGAAAACAGAATCATATAAGTACATCAGGTTTCATAGAGCCAAACATTTCAAGTGCTACTCAACTGGCTTTAGGTAAGCCAGTCCTTTATTAGTATAAAAGTGCTTCGTTAATAGTTCTAACGCTCGAAGTGGAGTCGAAAGAGATGAGTTTTCAGTTTGCGCCGGAAGATGTGCAAGCTATCTGCCGTCCTGATGTCAATGAGGAGCTCATTCCACCATCTTGGAGTCAGGACAGCAAACCCACGTGTTTTCGCCGATGGGAACTTGGGTCCCCCTCGCAGCGAGGGCGCAACGAGTCGTTTGGCTTGATGCAGAGCGTAGTGCACGCGCTGGGGTGTACGGTTTAACCATGTCCTGGATGTAGGAAGGGCCAGATCCATTCGCAGCATGGTAAGCAAGTACCAGTGTCTTGAAGTGGATTCTAGCAGTTACCGGAAGCCAGTGAAGGGAGCGGAGGAGCGGAGTGGTGTGGGAGAATTTAGGAAGGTTGAAGACCAGACGAGCCGCTGCATTCTGGATGAGCTGCAGAGGTCGGATGGCACATGCAGGTAGACCAGCCAGGAGGGAGTTGCAGTAGTCTAGGCGTGAGATGACGAGAGCCTGGACCAGAACCTGAGTCGCTTTCTGAGTCAGCTGGGGACGTATCTTCCTGATGTTGTAAAGCGTGTATCTGCAGCAACGGGTTGTAGCAGCGATGTTTGCAGTGAAGGACAGGTTGTTATCTAGGGTCACACCCAGATTCCTTGCAGTCTGAGTCGGGGAAACAACTGAGGTGCCGATGTTGATTGTTAGGTCAAGAGTGGGACAATCTTTTCCCGGGAGGAAGAGCAGCTCAGTCTTGTCAAGGTTGAGCTTGAGGTGGTGAGCAGACATCCACTGAGAGATGTCAGCTAGACAAGCAGAGATGCGTGCGACGACCTGGGTCTCTGAGCGGGGAAAGGACAGAATTAATTGGGTGTCATCAGCGTAGCAGTGGTATGAAAAACCATGCGGGCTAATGACTGATCCGAGTGAGTTTGTGTACAGGGAGAAGAGGAGGGGACCAAGAACAGAGCCCTGAGGGACCCCCGTAGTTAATTGACAAGGGTCGGACTCAGACCCTCTCCAAGTCGCCCTGTAGGTACGGTCTTTCAGGTATGAGGTGAGGAGGGAAAGTGCAGAACCTGAAACTCCAAGTTTTTGGAGAGTGCGAAGGAGGATCTGATGATTCACCGTGTCGAATGCAGCAGACAGGTCCAATAGGATGATGACAGAGGAGAGGGATGCAGTTTTGGCAGTGTGCAGTTCCTCCGTGACAGCAATGAGAGTAGTTTCTGTGGAGTGACCTGCCTTGAAACCAGACTGGTGCGGATCCAGAAGGTTGTTCTGATTGAGATAACAGGAGAGTTGTTTAAAGACAGCGCGTTCAAGTGATTTAGACAGGAACGGGAGGAGAGAGACAGGCCTGTAGTTTATAACATCAGACGGGTTGAGAGTGGGTTTCTTTAGAAGAGGGTTTACTCTTGCCTCCTTGAGACTGTTTGGAAAGTGACCAGAAGTTAGAGAAGTGTTGATGAAATGGGTGAGAAACGGTAGAATATCAGGAGCGATAGTCTGAAGGAGGTTTGAAGGGATAGGGTCCAGAGGACAGGTGGTAGGGCGGGCAGAGGTAATGAGGGTAAGAACCTCACTTGGAGAGAGAGGGGAAAAGGAGGTCAGTGTGTGGGTGGAAGGAGGGTCTGGTGACCCAGCGGTGAGTAAAGGTGAGTCAGAAAAAGAAGAGCGAATATCATCAACCTTTTTTTCAAAGTGGGTAACAAAGTCGCTTGACAGAAGTGAGGAGGGGGGAGGAGCTTTTGGAGGGTCCAAGAGGGTGGAGAAGATGGAAAATAGTTTTTTAGGATTGGAATAGGAAGATTGGATCTTATCTTGAAAGAAAGTGCTTTTTGCCTGAGAGATCGAAGCAGAGAAAGAGGAGAGGAGAGCCTGATAGGTTAGGAGGTCGTCACGGTGTTTGGATTTCCACCATTTCCGCTCTACTGCCCTAAGGACGGTTCTATTAGCACGCAGTGCATCATTTAGCCAGGGAGCAGGAGGGGACTGACGAGCCTGCCGAGATGTGAGAGGACATAGAGAGTCCAGAGAGGATGAGAGAGTAGAGAGGAGAGTTTCTGCAGCAGAGTTTGGAGGCAGGAGTTGGAACGAATCAGAGGAAGGGAGGGCTGAGAGCACCGACGAGGCAAAGGTAGAGGGGGAGAGGGAACGAAGGTTACGGCGGACAAGTGCAGGATGAGAAGAGATTAGTTTGTTATGTTTGGAAAGGGATAGAGAGAATTAAATGAAGAAGTGATCAGATGTGTGGAGCGGGTTTACAGAGAAGTTAGAAGTAGCGCAGTTCCTTGAGAATATGAGATCAAAGGACATTGCCAGCTTTATGAGTCGGTGGGGACGGAGACAGTGAGAAAGCAAAGGCGGTTAACAGAGATGTTAGTTCGTCTATCTTCCCCGTCTGGAGGTTGAAGTCTCCGAGAAGTACAGCGGGAGGGCCAGTTTCAGGGATGAGTGAGAGGAGATTATCTAATGTGAACGCAATCTCTGATTCTATTATAATTTACTTATTTCCGCATTAACTTGCACATTGTGTGGCATGCACCATTCTCTCTAAGTTTTATTTTTGTCTATTTCCTTTTGCAATTTGTTTAATTTAATTGATTAATTCGGTATTTTATTGGTTGCTTTGTGGCATAGGCCTGGGATTTAAGTGGCACTGTGCTTTCGTTACCACTGAATCTGCACATGATATAGTTATACAAATATATGTGATGAAAATACAATTCTGTAATTTTAACTAATTTTCTAAAGTGACATTTAATGCAATTAAGATGTTTCCTACCTCTCACACATCACACAGGATGGCACTGGCACTGGCACTGATGGAAAGCACTCCCCGGAAGGCTTTACTACCCATCATGCTCTGGGGCAGGCCCAGGTCTCCAAGGAACTGTTTGAGCTGAAGAGAGAAGTCTTCAGCTTTAAGGAAGCCATTGAGAGGAAGATGTGCCAGAATGACACTACCATGACAGCTACTAAACTGTAATGGAAACGCAGCATAAAGTGAGCCTGGCCTACCTATAACTTACTAAGCCGTGCGAGGCCCTGCAGTGGAAAAGCGGCATTACTGTATTGTTGAAGGTCCTATAACCGCATTTCTGTTTTGATGCTATTCCATTTTCATCTTTAGGCATAAGCATCAATCTCGGTCAATTGTCTCTGGGTAAAGTGATCCGTGCCTTAGGGATAAAAGCAAGAGCTCACCCGTCTTAAAGGTATGCTTTGAGCCTGGCCTAACAAGGCCTAACCATACCAGTGGCGTTTAAAATAAGCTTAAGTTCAGAGAGCTGAGTCTGAATAATGTTAAAAACAGCCTGTAATTTAAGTACACACAAATTGTGCTTACTTGTGTTTGCAGAGAGATTCAATTACATATGCTGTCCCCCCCCCCCCCCCCCCCCATAAAGAAAGGAGTTCCACTAGGAACACAGTTAACCCAGGCTACCCAACAGGACCCTCTTCACACCACAGTGAATATCCGTTAACGCAACACATTTATTTTACTTTTTGTAACTGACATAACTGTTATCTGTACAACAAAACAGTACAGCTACAATAGCCTTCAAAAACTCCACACTGACATCTATAATCCTTTTCCAAAACCAGCCAACAAACCTTCCCCTGCCCACTCAGCAACTCCTGCACCTGAAGAAGAAGCAATTTAAGAGGGACAGAGTAGACAGAATAAACAGTTTAGGACCCAACACTGACCCCTGGGGGACACCACAAGAAATGTCCAAACATGAAGAACAGTCATTTCCCAACTTCACATTCGTCTATTGCTTAAATAGCTTTTATTCCAGTCTAAATGTATACCCCTGATACCATAGCTTTCTAATTTATGTAGTAGGATATCATCATGGTTGATTGTGTCAAAAGCTTTTTTTATATCTATAAAAACCCCTACTGCATATTTGTTGTGTTCAAGGGCGAGAATAAACCATAACCATGATATCAAATGCAATCTCACAGCAGAGTAGTGAGGAATAGTCCACTTTTGGTTCAGTTGAGAGGTTCATTAAACACATCATCCTGTTATATCTCTCTATATAAAGGAAGGCTAGGAAGGAACCTGCTAACTATGTGTGTTTTACATTTCATGATTGGTGACCTATGATGTAAATGCCATTTCTCTTTCTTTAGTGTGCGTGTAAAGGTAGCTGCGATCACCTGAACTGCGGCTGCCTTAAAAGGGAGGTGGCCTGCGGGGAGACCTGCCAGTGCGATCATGAGAAGTGCACCTAGTAAGGATACCGAGAGAAGTATTCAGATCTTGTACTTGATTAAAAGTAGAAGTACTCAGATATTATACTTGAGTAAAAGTAGTAGTACTCAGATCTTGTACTTGAGTAAAAGTAGAAGTACTCAGATCTTGTACTTGAGTAAAAGTAGAAGTACCAGAGTGTAGGAATACTCTGTTACAGTAAAAGTCCTGCATTCAAAATGTTACTTAAGTAAAAGTACAAAAGTATTATCATCAAATTATATTGAAAGTAAAAGTCATGACCGAAAAAACGAGATTGCGGATACAAGCGGTCGAGATGGGTTTTCTCCGCAGGGTGGCTGGTGTCTCCCTTAGGGATAAGATGAGAAGTTCAGTCATCCGGGAGGGACTCGGAGTTGAACCGCTCCTCCTTCGCGTCGAAAGGAACCAGTTGAGGTGGTTCGGGCACCTAGTA